TATAACCAATTCTAACCAAATGAAATACTAATTACTATAATGACTTGATCTTTTCAGCGTGATCGTGAGCTAATACAGCTTTTCAAATGTAATTATTCATTTGATATAGTTCCATTTTTACTCAATTTTTATTACATGGTCCAAGAAAAACATTTAACTGAATATATTTTTATATATCAAAATTTATCATCATATGAGCTTACCTCTAGTGAGAAGATCAACCCCCTCAAGTCATCTATCACTTTAGTAAGACCCCTACAGAAACAAGAGAACGGGTTAAACTACAGTTAGGAATTGATAAAGAGGGAGGGATGGGGAAATACCTTAGTCTCCCGGAGCATTTTGGCAGAAAGAAGAAGGATCTTTTCTCATCCATAATAGACAAAATGCATTAGTGGTCCATTGGCTGGTCTACAGAATTCCTCTCATCTGCAGGGAAGGCAACAATGCTATAATCAGTTCTCTCAGTTATTCCTACGTTTGCAATGACATGCTTTCTTTTACCAGTAAGCTTATGCAAAAGGATTCAGTTTAGATTTTACTAGATTCTGGTAGGACGACAAGACGGGAGAGAGGAAGATTTGTTGGGTTGCTTGGGACAAAATTACCCAACCAAAGAGTGAAGGAGGGCTCGGTTTTCGGGACATACATGCCTTCACCCAGGCTCTCCTTGCGAAAATTGTCTGGAGACTTGCTTACAACTCCCAATTACCTTTTCTCAAGAGTTATCCTCGGTAAGTATTGTCATAAAACGTCATTTTCTTAAAGTATCTGCTATCTCACATGGCTGGAGTGGAATTCTTCATGGACGTGATCTCCTAATCCAACACCTTGGGAAAGTGATTGGGAATGGAGAAACTACTAATCTATGGCAGGACTCTTGGATCCAACCAGGCGTCAATCTCAAACCCCATGGCCCGGTTCTACTACAAGACAGGGATCTCATGCTCTCTGACATCATGACTAGAGAAACTAGAGAATGGAACCGTGCTCGTATTGACCTTCTGATGCCAGAGCTTACTGTACACATTCTATCTCTTTGACTGAGTCTCCTGAAAGCCCAAGATGCCTTCGTCTGGCCACTCAACAAGTCAGGAGTATACACTGCGAAGTCAGGGTACAATGCACTGATGTCGACAAAATCACAAGCTCCTGCACACTCCCACATGTTGGGGTGGAACTGGAAAAAGAAACTCTGGAATCCGCCACTCCTTCCAAAACTGAAATTCTTCTTGTGGAAAACCTACATAATGCACTCTCAACAGTAGCCAATTTACTAAGGAGAGGCCTTCTCACCAACACGTTATGCCCCCGGTGTGGGGAGATTGAGACCCAGGAACACCTCTTCTTCCATTGTAATTATGCAAAAGAGGTTTGGGCATCCCTGGCCTTCATCTATCAGTGTTGTTCTTGATACCACCTTCGCAGATGTTCTTCAGTCTTCCTATCTCTTGCGGAATCTCCCACCTTATGGGGTTTTGGGGAATGTTTTTCCTTGGATTTGCTGGTACCTCTGGACATCGCGGAACAAACTCATTTTCGAATCTAAATCGATTGCTCCACATGAAGTGGTAATACAATCAATCTGTGCCATGAAAGAATGGGAATCAGCCCAACCAGAACGCTCCTCTGCTTCCCTTAATCTGGCGCTGCTGCCACGACCTCGAGATATTCCGATGACTACAATCTTATGCAACACATACGCTGCTTGGAAAATCGGAGTCCAAATCAGCCGGTCTCGCCTGGATTTTCTCTGATCAGACAAGCTTAGAACTCACACGATCTTCTTCAGGCCAGGAATTTGTATCCTCGTTGTGTATGGCGGAGGCCCTTGAAATTCGAGATGCCCTACTTCACACGGCCTCTCTCAACTTCACCCATATCTGTCTCATAACAGGCTTTCAAGTGCTTGCTCAAACAATCAACAGGAGGACTTCGACGATGGAACTCTTCGGAATACTGTCAGACATCGAGTCTGTCATCTTCTCCACCAATTCCCCTTTTATTTTCTGCAATGTTGTTCACATTTCCCATACGGCCAATGGGCCAGCGGCTCTATCGAAAAAAGCCCAACTGTCTTTTCATTTGGGTGTAAAATTTAGGGCATGACAAGCCCACTATCTTTTTATAATTAATGAAATCGTTTTTTGAACAAAAAAAATCAAACTTTTCTTAAGCATTCAGTTATATAATTCTGTAACTTATCATTTAACACACCTGGTCTGAGTATGTAACCAATACCATTTTTTATAATTTAATAAATAATGTATAGTCATTTACTGTAAATGTTTCTAATGAATAAAATAAACAGTATATCAACTATTTACGATATTCTGAAAATAAAATATAACAGATTTTAATCTTTCAAATTTGCTAACAACCAAATCTCAATAGCTTACATGAAATATAAACTACATATCACATGATTTATTTTTGTTTTATACTCTATTTATGAACATATCTCAAGAAAATCTAAACAAATAGTATGTCAAAAATATGTGTTCCAATCATTTACATAGTTTAGTAGATTAATAGATGGGTTGAATGATTATAAAAGTCTTCAGCTTTTTTTTATAATAAAAAAATGTGGTAAAAATAACAAAAAATTATAAAAAAATCCTATATATATATATATATATATATATATATTATGTTTAGTCAAATATAAAAAATATTTTAACAAAGGTGTTATTTTCCTTTTTTAGAAATTAAAATTTTTCTTTTATAATTAAAATCTTAAAAAAAAAACATCACAAGATATTTTATTAACTATGCAGTTATAATATATGTATTTCGCTTTAAAGTTTTAAATGAAAAATTACAAAATCGTCTCAATAACAAGTTTTTATTTATTTCATAGAAATAAAATATACATTAAACTTACATAACCATCAAATCTACGTACTATCAATGGCTCAGATCAAATTTTTTTTTCACCTTCTTTGATTCTCCACATGAACTTGTAAACAAAGCTTTGGGTCTTAGTTAATGTAGTTTAAAGTAAAAAAAAAGGATGAAATTTGCCAGCAGCAATTTTTAAAATATAATTTATTATAGATTGCATTAAATGAAATCTGATATAGACGATCTTAATTAATATATACTAGATTTTGACCCGCGCTTAAAAAGCGCGGGTATTTTTTTGTTGTTTTTACTTTTTTGTTTTTTGAACAATTTTTTTCTATTTTTTGTTGTTTTTACTTTTTGTTTTTTTGAACATTTTTTTTGAATAAAAATTTATTTTAACTATAAGTGGATAACAAAATCATATGATTTTGATTGATCTGAATAATTAAATGGTTTTATTTTTATTGATAAAAAAGTAAATGATGAAATATAAAAGAATAAGAAAACCAATTGGTACAATGATAATATGGTTCAAATCTCAAATTCTGATTCCCACGTTTTAGAAATTGGATTCCAAACAAAATTTGCTTTGGCACTGCGATCTGAATTCCCAAAATCTTCTACATCAACACGTAATTTGTTATTTTCCATCCATACAAAAAAATTTGGATTTATTTTGATCATTAAGATGGACAAAATGTTTGACTGTTGATCCCTGAAACATATTTTCAAACACAATAAGATTTTGAAGATGTAATTAAAGTCTGCGGGCCAAACAATAATAAAATTATTATACCTTTTCCTAAGTTGGACATTGGTATTGCAATGAATTCAAAGGAACTTCGTTGGCCATATTTCCCGGTTTTGTCTCTGTGAAAAGTTTTTGTAAAGAAAAACTTTCTGTTAAAGCGGCTTAAATAATTCTTCACATCGAGTTATTAGGGTTTTTAGGTACATTGGTTTAGTATATATTAAAATTGGTTCAAATATATACCAATGCTATCGATTTGGTGCAAAAATAGTTGGGCCTGCGAGATACTATAAACGGGCCCAAAAGTATATTGACTAAAAAAACTGACCCTTCAATATTAATTTTTTAAAAAATCGGATTCTGATAAAGTCAAAAGACACAAATTCTGCCGACAATGACCTAATTCTTTTCTCAATAATTCTTTCTGATTAGAATTTCGCTGACCTTTCTTTGTTTGGAATGTGAAGATAGAACAACAAATCAAAAGGAGTAATAAGCTTTTCCCGAAGTTCCAGAATCTAATTCTCAGCCACATCGCCCCTTAAACATGTAAAACCAAAATATAGAAACATCAAATAACACTCGAAACAATGATAAAAAACGGAATGATAAATACTGGAAAAATAACTTACAGTCTCATCAGCGAAAACGAACTCCATGGTCTCCACGGATTGAATGTTTTGTTTCCAAGCGTGTAAAACCTTTACATGAACCAACCATGTGTTTTTCCATGGTTTCAGGTCGTGCAAAATGACCACTTTATCATTAGAACCTCTTGATGCTTGGATTTGCATTTTAGTAGCCATTGTTTTGTTTACTGTTTTGTTTGAAGGTGTGTAGAGATAATCGGAATAGAGTGCTGTCTATTTATAATATAAGGGACGTGCTTAGGTTTTAAGAGAAAACTTGGGGAGAAAGTTGGGGGATATTCTCTATAGTAATGAATATTGATTAGGATTAGTATTTTGGGAAATCCATAAATATAGGTGAACAGAATATATTATCTGCTTAAATCGCCCATTTAATATTGAATATTGATTAGGATTAGTATTTGGAAAATCCATAGATATTCTCTTTAGTCAATAAATTTTGAATCTTACCCGAATATATATGAGTATCCCAATATTATTGTTATTCATAATATTATTGTTATTCATAATCTT